ATAATTGCGAAAAGCTATTTGCAAACCACCCAATCATGTATAGTTGCTAAAGTATTTCCTTAGTTGAATTGGTGTGTGCTATTGGTTATGCTATTTTGAAGGATAATTTATATGAAATATTATGGAACAAAATGGCGTTCAATACTTAAACAAGCTTTCTTGAGTTGTACCCATTTTGGTACATTTATGCTATTTGTTGTTGTTTGCTTTAGAGGTGACAAGTGAATTTCTGGAGAATATGCTCTCAATAAACATTGATACTAATCTAGTAATCCTATCATTTGTACATACCAAAAAGTACCCGGATTTTGTTAACTATTCCTTAAGTAATAGACCTTTTTCAAAAATTTTTTTGTTTACAGCAGCTGTTAATGTGAAACTACCTCAAGTGCATTTAGCGATTTTTACTATGGAAAATTCAGTTGAACAACGAGTTTGTTTGGAATTTTGTGTTTTGAACGAAATTTCATGTGTTGAAGCATTGAAAATGGTGCAGAAAGCTTACGGGAACTCTTCTATGTCTCGAACACAGGCATACGAGTGGTATAAATCATTCAAAGAGGGTCGTGAAGTGATCGAAAATTTGAATCGTTCTAAACGTCCATCAACAACAAATACCGAAGAAAACGTGGCAAAAATCAAGAAAATCGTGATGGAAGAACATCGTATGACTGAAAGGGAGATTGCTCGTGACTTAAACATCTCAAATGGATCCGTTCACCACATTCTACATGATATATTGGGCATGAGACCTTGATTTTATCAAAAATAATACCGCAAGAACGTGATTTTTGAGCATGGAAACGACTCTACATTCATGAAACGCATCATAACAGGTGATGAGACATGGGTTTATGAGTGTGGCGTCGAAACCAGTCAACAATCGAGCGAATGGCGCTTCGAAAACGAGCCAAAGCCCAAAAAACCGCGCAAAAGTCGCTCGAAAATTAAAGTTATGCTCACTGTTTTTGTCGACTACCGAGGTGTTACGAATTACGAATTTTTGCCAGTGGGTCATACCATCAATAAAGAATATTACCTCGGTGTTATGAGGCATTTGCGTGAGTCCATCCGTAAGAAAAGGCCAGATTTGTGGAAAGCCAACAATTGGATTCTTCACCACGACACCACTGTCATCGCTCCGTGCGACTTTTTCCTGTTCCCGAAACTCAAATTGCCACTTCGTGGTAAGCGTTTTGAGTCGATTGAATCGGTAAAAGAGAATTCGTTGAAGGAACTAAAAGCCATACCTTCACGGGCCTACGAAAAGTGTATGGAAGATTGGGTTAAGCGTTGGCATATGTGTATCGCTTCAGAAGGAGCATATTTTGAAGAAGATAAAATAAATTTGCAATACATTTTAAATTTATGTGTTTTATTTACAAAATCCGGTACTTTTTGAGCGCATCATATGTACATATTTCAAAACAATGTGGTGTAATATGAGTTTTAAAATTAAAAAAACGATATCGACTAACGCTACCATTACCGAGTGAAACGTATATATTTATTGCTTGATTAAATGAATTTCTGATCAGATGGGTTAAATGAACAGGAAAAAATAGTTTTTCAATATGGCAAAGTTTGCTGTATCTATGAAAAATTATTTGAGATGGCAGAGCTGGGGAGTTGTATTATACTCACAATTATTCCTAGGGATAAGCAACAATTTTAATGAAGAACGGTTCAGTAATTTCCAAGAAGTCGAAGAATAAATGCAGGAAGTAATGCACTTCTAAGGATGTGAAATTTATTTGACACTAATTTTGTACTTTGCCTGAAGTTCGAAAATATGATTATATATTTTTATTTATATAGTTTTTATAGTTTTTAAGAAATTTTTTTATTTACATCAATATTTCGACAATATTTCGAGGGTACTATAATGTTCTTATAATGTAGCAATAATTGCGAATTGTAGTTCAATTCTATTAATATCATATTGGTGTTATTAAGGAACGAAAGTTTTTGCTTAGTGTTTTAATTCGAAATAATTCTAGTTAACCTGACCTATGTACTGAAGTTATATCTGCTATCACAATAATCCTCGAGGATGCAGTGACGCGGTGACTAGTTCCCAACCCTTTTAGAAAATATATCTGCTATTAAAACTAATGAGTCCTATTTTCGTGATATTAGAAAAGTTCTCATAATTACTTCTGTTAGAAAACTTTCAAACCCTATTAAGCAGTAAATAAAAGCAAATAATGAGAATAGAAATAATGATAAACATATGAAAGAATAATTTTATACTGAAAACTTGTTGGGGTTGATCTTGGTTAGTAAGTTATACCTATACATCTAAAAATGTTTTCTTACTCCATCCGTTTTTTCTCTCTTTCCTTCTCAGTTTCTATCTCACACTTTTTTTCTTATTTTCATTATGATGTAAACGGTATATATTCCACATCATTATTTTATAATATTATATTAGAGAAGAAAGATTGATACTTGAAAGGGGATTAAGTCAATTATGGGTCATTTCCTAGAAATATACTCAAGAGTGGTATACAAATTAAAAATTTAAGTAGTTTAAATTATTTTTCTTTTATCGAAAGAATCAGTTCATCTGGTCAATCAGTGCATCTGGTTCAATAGCAGCATTTTAACGTATTGAAATTGTAGTAAACCCACTCAATCTGTTGTAAATTCTAGCCATTTGTTCTGATTGGCAGTAGGGTCAAAATCTAAAATAAGTTCCACTAATTTTAAAATCTCAATATGAGCTCCGTTCGTTGATATGCTTCCATATCGAAATACATACTCGGCTTTAATTGCAGACAATGATTATTTATCTACATTGCTTTTGTGCATGTACAGCTCAATGTTTCAATTTGGAGGGGGCTTTAACCACTCAAGTCCCACCCTTGGCTATGACTCAAGTCAGTTGGAATAATAATAGTTAACGTTACCCATTAGTTTCTATTGGTTAACAATAACCGACAAAATATACAAAACATGCTTAATTAGTAACAAATTAAAATAAAACTTTAATAATTTTTATTACAGAAAGAACTTTGAGAATTCGTGGAAGCTCGTATAATTAATCTTTCCGCTTTCTTCTTCGTAAATAGTTAGAAAACGTGTTTAGAAAAAGTAGCAAAATAAATTTTAATAGACTTAAGCACTTGTAACGCAATTTCTTACAATATTTCTCGATTTGAAAAATGAAAATAATTAACTATATAACATTTTAAATTTATTTAAAATGAATATGAGAACTTGTTTTGCAATGTCATAAATTTTTAGATAAATCCAAACAACGCATTGCGATGGGATGAAGTATAAAAGCGCGAACGAAAGTCGGACTGAAATTTGTTTTCGAGTTGCTTCCAACACGTGTAGTTGCATGACTTTTCGTTTCGCGAAAGAGGTTTGACTTGAGATTTTTTTAAAATCGCATATATAAATAGAGAAATTACTGAATAAATTATAAAATAGTTAATTTTGAAACTAGAAAACTAGTTAATAAAACAAGCTTCACACTTTCAAAATGTCCGCACCACATTTCGTGACTACGGCCGAGGAGCTATCGAAAATACGCAGTCTTAATCGCGGAGAGTCGACTTCTTCGACGAGCAGTAGTTTATTGGATACGCCAGTTTGGCTTTCTACAAAATATATACAAAAAAGCTTACGTATATATTATAATGATCACACACTTAAAGTAAACAATATCAATATAACACCAGCATTAGGACGTGGTGAGAATTATGGTGGCGTTCTAACGCGCATTAATGCCGAATATGTCACTGGGACCGGCCAACATCAAGTTGGACATTACATCGTGAAAACAAGTTTCGAAGGCGATGAATTGGCACTACAAATCATGGAACCCTATGATATCTTCAACTGTGAGATGTCCATCTATGAAAGTGTGCTACCCAAACTGAACGCGTTGCTACGTGAAATTGGTGATAATGAGCAAATATTTGCTGCAACAATGAATGTGGATTATAGGAAATCAGCACTTATTTTTGAGGATCTCACTATGCGTGGCTTTACCAATCCAGATCGCTTGCAAGGTTTGGATAAGAATTTATCAAAAATGGTGCTAAAAAAATTGGCTAAAATGCATGCTGCCAGTGCTGTGTTGAATGAACGTGAACCTAGATCTTTAGAACATTACGACCGCGGCATGTATAATCGTCATACAGACAATTATGCACCTTGCTTTGTGGGATTGTTAGAGGCGATGGGTAGACGACTTCGTCAATGGCCGGGCTACGAGCATTATGCACAAAAGATAGAAAAACTGAGGCCAATGTATATGGAATTAGCGAAACGCGTATTTGATCCACTTGAAGGTAGGCTGAATGTCTTGGCACATGGTGATATCTGGACCAATAATGTGATGGTAAAATATGATAACGAAAGTGGCAAGCCTTTAGATGCAGTTATAATTGATTTTCAATACTCAGCTTGGGGTTCACCAGCAATTGATTTATTTTATTTCTTTAATACATCATTGAACGAAGAGTTACAATTAGCTGTGGAAGATGAACTCATACAATATTATTACGAAATTCTGGCGGATACATTAACAAAGTTGCGTTACAAAGCTAAGATACCAAGTTTACACAGCTTCCATATGGAGTTAGAAGAAAAAGCTTTTTATGGTGAGTATGACTGTATATGCTTTAATTAATTATAAAAAATAAGATAAATAATTATTTATGCTTACTCAGCTGGGGCATCAATTTTATTTTGTGTAAATTAAAAATGTTTTCTATAGATATACAAACATGACATATATTATTATATTATAATATATTATATTAAATTTTATAATATATTATATTATATTTTAAATATATGAAAATATATTTTATTTAAATTTAAAAATTTTTTATGGTTTGTAACTATTATATAATTTTCATTTTTTTTTAGCATTTTGCGCATCCTGTATTTTACAGGCTGTACAAAGGAATGAGGATACTCATGATGCTGATTTCAATGCTCTCATGTTGGAAGATGAACGCGCTGTAAAATTTAAGGACAGCTGCTATGATACTGAATTCAGTGAAAGAATTGTTAAAAAGTTTCTACCAGTATATGATCGTAGGGGCTTGTTGGAGCCTGATCAGTAGTGAGACAAGATCTCTCTTCTCAGAGACTTTGAATGTAATTAAAAGAAAAATTTAAAAACAAATACACAGTAGTATATAGTATGTAGTATTGTTTAGAGAACTATATTGACAAGTATCAATGGTAGGGATTTATTTAATAAAATAGCACGAAAATTACACTTAATAATTTGTTAAGTAACATTTTAGATAATTCTATTAGGCATATAACTGTAGATAAGAATATCATATAAGAAAATTCGAAAACTACATTTTGTTAAAAACAATTTTATTTCTTTAATTCTTCTTAAGATAGAATAGTGTTTTATTGATCTATTAAATATATATATGTACATACATTATTTATATTTTGATATTTATTTGAAATTTGTTTTAATTTTAAAACTTCAAGAAATTTGTTTTTAATTCTGTATATATATCACGTTATGTATATATTTCACGTTTTGTGGTCCTTAATTACCGATATATGATCTTCAACTGTCAAATCATGGAAATAAAACTAATCTTTGTAGTTGAATGTAATTGAAGAAATTACAAGTAAGAAAATTTTACATTACTCATTTGTCTTGGAAATAGTTTTTAAAAATTATATATTGTTGTGCTTCTCATATATCAAGAAAACCATTCAACTCAAATTCTTTAACTGTACGTTGCAGAAAGGCACGATATTTTGGGTTTTCCACATTTTGGCGACGGATCTGATCCCCCTCTTCCGATCGTGTAAATAAGTTTTCCAAATTGGTTATGGCACCTGCATCCATCAAAATAATAGGTGTCAGACAAGTGGCAGCAATAACGGCTAAAAAATTGAAAATATAATAAATAAATAAATGTAAATTCATATTATTTTAAAATTGTAAATATATATCTATTTTAACCATACCTTGTAAGCTATTTTTAATTAGTTCTATATTGATTTCTTTTAGAGTTGGTATATGTTCGGTATAGTTCAGTTTTTCAAGTGTTTCTTTCAAAACGCGATGATATTCTCTGATAATAAATTTAAAATGTACCTTACGTACATTTTCGTTAACGGAACCAAAGAGAAAATAGTTGAGGTCTGTAGCTGGTGAGCCATAGTATGAAAGTTGAAAATCCAGCTGTAAGATATAGAACACGAGATAAAGATTCAGTATTAAAAGAATGGAGATAATAGAATATATAGGTAGGTATATAGCCACATAGAAATCTTTAATTTGATTATTAGTTATTATGCATCATTCCTGAAATTAATTATTACGATTATAATTAGCTTACCATAACGACATCATCTGGTTCTTTTGTTTCATTGTTTATGTGAAACATCAAATTATCAACCCATATGTCTGCTAAATTGAAAACTCGAAAACCCTCTTCGTGTGATTCAAACATTTCTACAGCTTTTTGTAAAACATTTTCAGATAATTTGTACATTTTTTCTGTTATTTCCTCATAGCCTTTCCAGTGCGTCAGCTCTTCAGCAACGCAACGTATATTAACTGGAAAAAATACGAGAAAGTCCTTACG